GCTGGCCCATAGTAGCTAATCCCGTTAGGGTTGGTTATGGTTCGTGCTGGTGCTGCTCGGGAGTTCCTGCTATTGGCTGCCTTGTGTTTTGTTGTTTTGATTATTGGCCTGTGATTTACCATGTATCAGTTATGTATCTATTTGACTTAGGCCTGCGTGCCGCTGTTTCTGACTATTGTTAGGCCTTCTATCATATTTGCTGGGTGGTATATTATTGCTTTTTACAGGGCAATCAATAGCATCCCAGGAGATGTTACAGTCGTGGTTCGGTTAGGTTGCATTATAGTGCAGAGTCGCTGTGGTGCAACTTGCAGGGGGAGTGCTATGGCTGTGGCATGCAAGGTGTCTGTGCCTTGCTATTGAGCTTCATGTTTATATGGTGGACCGTGAAGCAGTTGGGTTGCACGTTTATTATATTTTGGAGCAGCTTCGCAGTTTACTTAGCTTGAATTTATATTCAGATGGTTTATGCTCTATTATGCATTCTAGTTAGCAATAACTAGTATGGGACTTGGGGCGTTTATGTTAGAGCCCCGGGGGCCTTCTTTATGTAATCTCGTTTTATTTACTTTACTTAGATTAGTTAGTTGGATTTAGGCCATGTGAGCCTAAGTCCTTTCTGGATTATTGGCTTAGGCCATTTTATTACTTAATAAAGTTCACTTAAAAAAATATATATATATCTCATTCACTCATTATCCGTTTTGAGCGTACAATATATCAATCTCTTCGTCTCACTACGAAGAATCCGAGTCCACTTTGACCCGACCCAAATCAGAAGTGGACCCCAATGATAATTGTACCACAAAACAGCCACTTAATATGTCATTTTGAGCTATTTTTTTCCCAACAGCTAGAAATAAAGTGCTTGCTCTGAAGGACAACAACGATGTTTGGGTCTCGGATAAGAATTGCATGAAAGCCATGATCCAAGAATATTTTGTTCAGCTCTATTCGGCAGGGCCGTCCCTGGGCAAGTCTGCCCAGGGCTGGCGCACAATTTGGGGGCCCCTTAATTAAAAAAAAAAATATATATATATATATATATATATATATATATATATATATATATATATATATATATATATATATATATGTATTAGGCTTTAAGCTCAACACGGAAGATTACAGTCTATGAACAAAGCCCAAAGCATATAAAACAAAGCCCACATACATTATATTATTGTAACAAAAATGGCAAACCTATTAAATATTAGTATATTATCCTAATCTAAAGCAATTGTTATGCTGTGCATCCATATACACCGTGCATGGTGCATACAGATGCAAAAACGACATCGTTTTGACGTTTAACTTAAAAAAAAAAAAAAAAAAAAAAAAATTGCATAACTACACATTCATAATTTCATAACTATACATCCAGAATTACATAACTACACATTCATAATTTCATAACTATAAATCCAGAATTGCATAACTACACATCCATAACTTCATAAATATACATCTAGAATTGCATAACTATACATCCATAACTTCATAACTATAAAATCCACAATTGCATAACTACACCATGCATAATTACACATCCATAATTTCATAACTATAAATCCAGAATTGCATATCTACACATCCATAATTTCATAACTAAATATTCAGAATGAATGAACTAAAAAATGAACAACATAATGTTGAAACTGATTTTTTTTAAGTAGAACACGCGTTTTGATGCAAAACGACGTCGTTTTTGCACCCGCATGCATGGTGCATACGGATGCACAACAAAATTTGCCAATCTAAAGGCTAAAGTATTAAGTACAACAAACAGAAAGAGAGACCGGTCAGACTGCATACACAAGACGATCGACGTCAAGTAGCTAGCCTAGGTATTTGAACAAAGACGAGACTCATCAGAGACAAAACTACAACAAATAGCTTACTGCCTAGCAACATAGGTATTTGAACTTTTATTCTTTTAATTTGAGGGTGCTATTATTTGTGAATTCTATGTATTTGAATCAATTCAAATATTGGAATATTTAATTTGAATGTTTGTGTATTTGAACTAGATTAGGTAATTCAAATTTGGGAAAGCCGACATATATATTCTACTCGTGTGCTGTTGATTCTTCAATTCTTAAACTCTCAAGTTCTTCAATTCTCTTGATAGGTAATTAAAATTACGTATTATTTTACAATTCTTGTATTGTTTTATTTACATGACTTAATAATTTTGATTTTAGAATAATATATTCAAGAATTCGTTTCTTGATTAATTATTTATTTATAGAGTTTCTAAATAAATTTTTATTTTTTCCTTAGGATTGTACGTTTCTAGCAAATATTCATCTGAGTTTGAGAAGCGTAAAAAGAAAAGAAGAATTGAGCAACTAACTCAATCTCAAAAGGGGGCTCTTGAAAAATTTATTTAAAAAAAAAAAAAAAAAAAAAAAAAAAAAAAAAAAACTCAAATAGATGAACAAAAAGAGAGATGAACAATGTGGTGATATTGACGGAAATGAATTATATTGAGCTAAAATTGCGTCTAAGTGTGCACGACGCATGTCCCTTTTTAAATGAAATTTTAGATTTATTTTTTATACAATATTTATATTTTAAATTTTTAACACAACTTTTTGAACAATTATTATTTATATATAAAAGTTACTTGAAAAAGGGGGGCCCAAATCAAAATATTGCACAGAACCCCAATTTTTATTGGAACGGCCGTGCTATTCGGCAGAGGCTGCGGACGATACGAGTAGAACGCAGCATAATGCCTTTCCTAGAATTGATGAAGATCAATGGAGATTATTAAATAAGGAGATTGGGGTTGACGAAGTCAAAGAAGCTCTTAACTCCATGCATTCGCTTAAAAGTCCTGGGCCGGATGGGTTCACTGCGTTATTCTACCAAAAGTCTTGGGATACTATTAAGGAAAGCCTCGTCAATTTGGTAAGGGGTTTCTTCGAAAAAATCGCAAATTATATCGTGCACCGCGGTGCATGATCGATCATGCACCGCGCATCAAAACGACGTCATTTTGTTTAACGAAAAGAAATAGAATGTTCGTAAAAAATAACTCTGTTCTTCAATTTCATTTTGTATATACTGCAGTTTCAGTTCAACACAACAACAGTTTCATTTTGATATAACTACAGTTTCATTCAATATTTATACACTCAAATATGTGAAAATGTTATTTTATTTTATATACACTATAGTTTCATTAAAACACAACTACATGATCATTTCAATATAATTACAGCTTCATTGTACAATATACACACAAATATGTGAAATCTTATTCAGTTTCATTTTATATATACTGTAGTTTCATTTCACCACAACTACAGTATCATTTTGATATAACTGCAGTTTCATTTGATAATATAAAAATAATACGTGAGACAATATCGGTTTAAACACACTGTAGTGTCACTCCATTATAACTGCAGAAACAGCGCCGTTTTAACGCGCGGTGCATAATAGATTATGCATCACGGTGCACGATATAACGACTGTTCAAAAATGGTACCCTTCCGTATGGGCTTAATCACACGAACATAGCCCTAATCCACAAGGTCAAAAACCCCGAGAAGGTCAATCAATTAAGACCTAATAACAGTCTATGTAATGTTGCCTATAAGCTAAATACAAAGCTCATGACAAATAGAATCAAAATGGTCATGCCGGATCTCATATGCCCGAACCAAAACAGCTTTGCCACTAACCGTCAAATAACCGACGACATTGTGATCTACCAGGAAATTCTCCACACGATCCGAACCACCAAGAGCAAGAAAGGCTTCATAGTGCTAAAGATTGATATGGAAAAGGCTTATGACTGCTTGAGTTGGAATTTTATTCGGACTGCGCTCCAGAAAATTGGGTTCAACAATAATTGGGTTCATAATATTATGAACTGTGTAGAATCGGCCACTATGTCGATTCTTTGGGAAGGGGAGAACCTCGAAACTTTCAAGCCTAGAAGGGAAATCAGACAGGGAGACCCTATATCCCCTTATCTTTTTGTTCTTTGTATTGAAAGGCTCTCCATCATCTAGCCTAGCAGATTTATCAACTCAGCATTCTTGTAACTGCCTTGTAACTACATATAGCAAAGTTAGTTAGCTTCAGTTTTATGATCTCCTGCTTAATTGTTTAGTTTTAGCCTTCAACCACCTTTTGTATATACAGACAGTTTTCCAAATAATCAGAAATTCATCTCTTCTTCCTCTTCCTCTTTCTTTGCTGAGTATGGTGTCCTCCATGTTTCCCGATAGAGAGGTTAAGCTTGATATATTATTCACTCAAAAATGAATAATGAGTTAATAAGAAATTGATTTTCAAAGTGTACCATTTGAGTTGGGGAAAATAGAGTTGAGAAGGTTTTCAAGTAGCATTTGACCCACATTGAAGTGAATCTGTACTAATATATATACAATTTAACTTTTTAATAAGAAGTTTGAATTGTGTATTATAGAGGTTTTTTTTCATGCAATTTTTAACACCAGATTCTTTTGGTATCTCTATTGAAACCTTCAAAATTCTGATTTTTTTTTACTCTTGCGGAACTCAATCGACTCTCTCACTTTACTTCAAGTAAAATTTCGAAGTCTTCACATTGGTTCAAGTCCATTGAAACATATATTTGAGTGGTCAAATATTTACATGTAATCCATTGTGTTTTAGGAAACCAATGGTCAAAGCTCTTAGCATCCTTAAGAGGAAGCGTATCAATTTTAGGGAATATATTTTTTAATTAAATTGATTCTCCAGGTATACTCGTTGAATTAGGAAAATGGAATTTGGCCAGACTTTTAAATAGCATCTGTCCACATTTAAAAGTATATAATTTGCATTAGTATAATGCAATTTAACTTTTTAAGCCATTTGAATTGTGTAGCATAAATGCTCTGTCTCACCCTAAGCCCTCAGGGGAGGGGGATACAACTCACACAAGGAGCTCAAAAAGCTCGAACTCGACAACAAGGTCCGCTGGAATGCGTGGTTGGCTGATTGGCGGGGCAGTAAAATTATTCAAAAAATAAAGTGGGTAACTATCCAGAGGAGAGTACTTTAATTTCTATAATACAGAACATGGTATGATTTATAAATTTATTGATGATATCCTAAGGGATGGGAGAGCTAAGACCCTCTTGGGAAGACAAAGAATGGAGCGGTTGGTGCCTTTTGGAAGGAAAAGATGGCTTCGCCGCCATGAATGAAGGCCGTTTCCTGAGGCGTTTCAGTTTCCTCTTAGCATAAACCGAACGGAGAAATGGTCCACTCCTCTCCTTCAACTTGAGAACCAGGAAGAAGGTGAATCTGTAGCATACAATAAGGCAATACAGGGCAAGTAAATCCCACCATTTGGAATGATCCAGTGGCAACCCAAACATATGTCGTATTACATCCTCTCCTGACAATTTGGATTGGCCTGGAAAAAGTGGGTCGAAATCCAGGCCGAGTAGATCGTTCTTGTATCCTCCCTGCATTCCAATTTCAAGGTTATATAGTAGAATTACGCCGGTAAAGTGCCAAGTCCAGTAATTGGTGGCCAGAGGATTATTGGACGGGAGTCAATCCTGCCTCTAGAAGGCTGGTAGGTGCTAGGAGGAAGAACAGTTGGACTGAGGGAGTAAAGACCAAATCCAACAATTGATGACTCGGGGAATTGGCGGCCAGAGGATTGTTGGGCGGGAGCCAATCCTGCCTCTAGAAGGCTGGTAGGTGCTAGGAGGAAGAACAGTTGGATGAGACCAGTAAAGGCCAAATCTAACAATTGATGACTCGGGGAATTGGTGGCCAGAGGATTGTTGGGCGGGAGCCAATCCTGCCTCTGGAAGGCTGGTAGGTGCTAGGAGGAAGAACAGTTGGACTGAGGCCAGTAAAGACCAAATCCAACAATTGATGACTCGGGAAATTGGTGGTCAGAGGATTGTTGGGCGGGAGCCAATCCTGCCTCTAGAAGGCTGGTAGGTGCTAGGAGGAAGAACAGTTAGACTGAGGCAGGTGCTAGGAGGAAGAACAGTTAGACTGAGGCCAGTAAAGGCCAAATCTAACAATTGATGACTCGAGGAATTGGTTAAGAACTTAAGACAGAACACATTATTCAGTGTACCTGTAGTGACCATGCCCCGTAACCTATGAACGAAACAGGATATCGCCAGATTGGCTTTGGAAGATCTGGCAACAAACGGAAAAAGCCAGCCGTCATCATCATAACTCCCTGCATAGAAAGATAATAGTGTTATTATGCTCATGATTCTGAAAAAAAAAAAAAAAAAAAAAAAGTTGGGCTACTAACAAGAACTCCAGCGCCAACAATAATTCCCATTAAGAAGTTGGGAACCAGTGCAGATACAATCATCATGCAGCTCTCAACCAATGCAATACATCCAAACAGATTCAGGCAGTAGAACACAAAATGAGAAAAGCTTGCTTTGTACACCATGTAAAACACAATGGTCCCAGTCATGACTGAAATCCCAACCAGAAATGGGAAGGAAGAGAAGAAGTTTGCTAGTATGAAAGCTCCAACCCCATAATGTCCATTCAGTCTTTCTTTGGTGAAAACCTGGTCATAACAAAACATTCAGAATCAAGCGTTTACCACTACACCAAAAGTTATAAAAGGTTCTGATAATGATCTTCACCTTCATTTCTTCTACAAACGAAGGGAAGCCGCCAATAGACATGAAAGTCATGTATCCCGTTACAAATCCACCGCACGCTCCCCGGGCCAAGATGGATGAGTATTTGGTCCCGACATTGAAGAACAGGGTGCCAACACATAGAGCAACAAGTATATAAATAACTATGCGCGACCAATAATATCCCACATCGCGGTTCATGTTCAAGAAGGATCTCTGTGTCAAAGTTTTGAGTTGTTTTCCCCACCCAGCCTGGCTACCTTTAATGGACTGTATCTCAATATCTTGCTGCATAATTTAAGTATAGTATGATGAGTTGCAGGAATTAAATCATTGAAAAGACATTAATTAAGCTTGACCCTGAACACTTACAATCTTGGAAAATTCTTGCAACTTGTCTCTGGCCCTAGTACCATATTTTGAGCTTCTATAATTTTGAACTAGCAGTGCTTTGATATCTGCTGTTGCCATATTCATCAGATAATCACTTTTATGAGTTTCCTGTTAACACAAACGAGCAAAGATAGATTATATTATAATGTCAGTGTAAAATATGTATGTGTGTATGTGTGTGTGAATTTAACAATTTCTATACTGATGACTCTAAAAGAGAACATTATGGCCTGTTTGGTAAAATAATTAGCCTATAGGTCAATTTTGACTTATTTGACCACTATTAGAGTATTAGTCATTTGACTTGGTTAAAAAATCAATATAAGTGTTTGGTTAATTAGCTTTTTATAACTCTAAAATGCTAAAATTGAAAAAGCTGCTCAAAGCAATTTATTAGCTTTTTGAGAAAAGAAATTATACCAAACAACTAACAGCTAATTTACCAAACATCTTTCTACAATCAGCTAATGTTATCAACTAGTTATACCCTCTAATTAACCCAATCAGCTAACAGCCATTTACCAAACATGGCCTATGTGAAACTACAAAACAACCCTTTTTTCTTGGGTGAAGAGGGAAACCGGCAGTCACACCCTCACAGGGTAAACCTCACCTTGTTATTCTAGTCGGAAAAAGGCCAAAGAAAATAAACCAATTGTTCATAGCTAACCGATTCAAATCAAGAAGGTCAATAGGCGGTAGAATGAAAGATAGTGTTAGGCGGATGCTCGTAAAAGACCAAGTCCAGCACCATGCCTCCCAAAAATATGTCGAAAAATAAAATTGGGTTCTTCCTACGAGCTATAACTTTTGACATAGCAGTAAACACTTAAATAAAAATTATACAGAGCAGGCTAGGAAGGGAGGCCGATGAAGGATCAAGCCCAACACCCTATAACTAAAATTGCATTCATACCTGAATTCTCTGTGATCCTTTCAATGTTGCTGTCACAATGTCAAAGTCGGAGTTAATACAGCGCAGATAATGGTCGGAAGGATTCCGTCGACTCGGACATGGAAACCCTGCTTCTGCAAAGAACTGAAGAACATACAGCAATGGTAAACCTGATTAGAATTGAATTCAGGTTTTCATATACAAAAACATCAATAAAGTTTCTTAAGAACTTTAAGTTTATGAGATGAATTCCTGGATATCCATACTTCTTTGGCCATTTTTGCTTCCCCAAAATAAACAGTCTCTCCTCCAGACAGCAAATAGAGGTCATCAAACTGTGCAAAAACTTCACTGCTAGGCTGGTGAATGGAAGAAACAACTATTCTCCCATCAGAAGAAATGTTTTTGAGAGCATGAACCACAAAAAACGCCGCAGCACTGTCAAGACCACTGGTTGGCTCATCAAGAAAGAGAATATGTGGGCGCACAAGAACTTCAAGAGCAATGCTTAGTCTCTTCTTCTCCCCACCACTTATGCCTCTCATTTGCCAGTTCCCCACGAGGCGATCGGCGCAATCCAGAAGCCCCATTTCCATGATTGTTTCCTCCACAATTTGCTTTATTTCATCATCAGTTAAGGTGGTTGGAAGGCGCAGTTTGGCTGAGTAAGTGATGGTTTCTCTGGGTGTCAGGGTTCCTAGCAGCACATCTTCTTGTGCCACATAAGCCTGTAGTTGTGGATATAAAAGGGTGAATAATTTATTAAAAATGAAGTGTATTATATGGCATGTAGTGACCTCTCCCATGTAGGAGATCATGAGATCGAGCCTCAGTGGAGATATTGTTGACTCTTTGTGGTTCATTAGGTTGAGAAAGTATGTTTGAACAGATATTACAATGTAATAGAATCAGTAGTATTAAAAAAATTGTCCAATGTTTGCAAATGGTCAGAGCTGCATTTGAACTTTAAAGTGCGGACTTGCGAGGCCCGCTGCTTAATGGGCCTAAAGTAGACAGGTCAAAGTCCGTTTCGACGGTTCTACCTTAAAACATAGCATTTCCATCATTTAAGGATAGCCAATGTTTTCTAATAGTTTGACTTTTAGATCAAAAGATAATAATATTTCTCTGATACTTATAGTGGTTAGATCAGAACTCAGAAGATTAACAAGTTTTGGAATTTTCAAGATGGGTGAGGAAAAACAATAACCAATTTGGTAAAATCTTGAAAATTTTTAGGGGCACTCTAAAATTTTCATAAAACATATTTTAAATAATAGAGTTTCTAACATCTTTTTTTTTTTTTTTTTTGAAAATCTCTAACAGCCATTTAATTGGCAAGGATTGGAATCTCTGTGGCATGCAATTCAATCATTATTCCATAGATAATGAATAAAAGGTACATTTTTAATATATGAAAGGAACATTATTTGTGTATTGAAGGTGTATTATTTAAATACTGAAAGTACATTATGTTGTATATTACCAAATAATATGCATTCAAGTATATAAATAATGTATTATTAGTATATAAAATGTACATTTTATTCATAATTCATAAGAAAAATTGTCCGTGGCAATTTGGGGCGTAAATTTACAACAATAATTGAATAATTGACTTGGGTATTTAATGAGAAATAAAGGACTAAAATTTCTAGAAATGTCTTGGGTATACTGGAATAAGCTCTCCCAACTTGGAAGACTAAGTTATAGAATGAAAAAATGTCCAATAATAAGCCCTCCAAATATTGTGAAAAAAGTAATTGACCTCTAATTTTAAGAAGTTCCAATTAAAACTTTGAACTTGGTAAAATCATACAATTAGTCCAATTGACCTATTTTTCCCTTTTTTTGTTGAGACACTCATGATTATTTACAAGGTAATATCTGTTCTATACTTTCTAAAATTTTTTCAACCCAAATAATCAATGCTCCCACCATCCGGATACGATCCTGTGACCACTCATTTGGAATGGTAACAGAGGTATTATCACACTACATAATAGTTGGCATCAGCCATATAAACAAAAGAAATTGTAGTATCATCAATTTTTTTACGGGTAACTTGTTCATTACCAGTAAAGACGATTTGATTGTCTTTTTTTAACGTCAAGGTTCTAATTAGAACCTTTTAAAGTTAGAGAGCATAATTGATATTTTTAACAATGCTTGGAGGGCTTATTTAACCATTTCCATGTCGTAGAACTATTGTATAAAATAAAAAACTTGAATTGAATGTACTTACAACAGCACCATAGTCCAGTCTCCTCTTCTTCCCATTAAGAAGAATATTACCAGTCATGACAACATTACTTGACAGCCTACCTGTACGAAAATCAAGCATTATTTGACATTTGAAATTAACAATAGCCTGTGGTTAGGCATTGAATGGAACAGTACAAAATTAGCTGGCTTTGAAGAAGATGAATGACTAATCATCTTTCTTTCGATCATTTACTCACTGTCATAAGCCTAGGTATTTTTGCCCAACTTAAATGAGCCAGTTTTGACTCATTTTGTTGTGGTAGCTGTTCAGAGTAATAATTTTTATTTTATCAGAAAAGGTTAATAATTGCAGGGAGAAATATCCAAAATTTTGTTTTTAATTAAGACAGTAAAAATGTTTGGAACCCACCAGATGGCATGTGTATCATGTGTATTAGTAGGCTATGTCAACATGTCTGGCAAATAGTAATACAATAATGACTATACGAGCTGAATACTTGATGTTGAGATAATGGGGTGTTTGGTAGGATGGAATTGCAATTCCATTCCTATCAAATTTCATGAAATTGTAATTTTATGATTTCGTTGGAGGGAATAACAATTCCCTTCAATCATGGAATTGCAATTCCTAGGGTCCCCCTAAGAATTGCAATTCCATACTTTGTGGAATTGTAATTTCATTGCAAATTACCACTTTACATTCATTATTATTATTATATTAATACTCCGTATTATATAAGGACATTTTAGTATTTATTCACCTCTTTCTTCTCAATTCCTCTTCACCACATTCCTTCCTACCAAACAATGTAATTTAAATTTTCACTTTATTCTTTTCTCACCGAATTACAATTACTTTCCCCTCTAATTCCCTCCGTCTAACCAAACACTCCCCTCTAATTCCTTCATTCCAACCAAACGCTCTGTAAAAAGCGAAAAATTTTTAAATATTACATCCACTTCTATTTTCTATTATCAATTTTTACTTTTATTCTCGAATTTTTGATGAGAAAACTTTTCTATAAATTTGCATGATGAAAATAGTCTATCTATCATTGTTAGAATATACTATTCGAACTTCTCTATTCTTGAGACCAACAGATGAAGATAACTTATCTATCACTTGTCACATCAGGAGTAAATGTGAGGGAGTAGAAAATAGGAATTTATGTAGTAGAACTCAATTTTTATTTTTTTTGCCACGTTAGAAAATAAAAGTTAAAGAGTAGAATTTAAAAGTATACATAGTAGAACTCGATTGAGGACTCATATTATTCATGTGATAATTAAGATATACTCTGCAGCATATGGTAGTTTGACTCCAACCACTATAGTCTATAGCAAAAGCAGCCAAAAGTCTGATGTTAGTTGGTAAGTTTGATGCAGTGAACTACCCTACTGAGTACTAAATGGAATCAGTACAAAGCACCCAGCATACATATTCCAACATTCTGATATGACACAGATAAGATGTCTCAAACTCTATTTTCCAGAAGAAGAAGAAAATGGAATAGTAATTAAGAAGAAAACAGAGTACCTGCTAAGGAATCAAGAAGGGTTGATTTGCCGGAACCAGAAGGACCCATTATAGCCATAATTCTACCAGGTTGGGCATAGCCACTGAGGCCATGGAGCAACTTCTTTGTTGGGCCGCCATTTGGCAACACCACCGTTAAATCTTCCCACACCAAGTACGCCGCCCCCTGCCTCCGCACCCCACCTTCCTCAATACTCGCCGCCGCCTCTATTTCCATATCCCGCCGCCGCCTATTTTGATCCGCCGCTACCCACAAAACTTGGCAGAAATGAAGTGGCAAGGTCCACCAACTGTATGGAAATTTGTATGATTGATTACCGAGTATAAAGCTTTTTGCTCGTAACTCAGAAAACTACAAAAGTGTGCAATTATTGAGTCTATATACATACATGTGCATACGCTAGATACATATAGAGAGAGAGAGGAAGGGGGGGTCAGGGAAGCATTGGTTGGTGGTGAGTGGTGAGTGGTGAGGGGCATAGAGGAAAGTTGGTCCAGCGGGAAAACTTAAAAGGATGATCATCACAGGATAGGCATGAGATTAATTAAGATAAAGCATAGAGTTAACATTAAAAGCATGGATATGGAGTATATTCCTTTAGTGGAAGAGAATTTCACACCACACCAACTAAAATGTATTATATGTCTACATGACACAGTTTCACACAATACTTTTTCTTATTTATCAACTATTAAATCTCCCAAATATAATAATAATAATAATAATAATAATGGATCAATTTTTCGAAAGTAAGTGTAGAGAAAGGATACAGTACAATCTTCAAGATGGTTACAAGAGTAGACATTTTGTATAATAATCTCGTGACTTTTTTAGAGTTCACATAGATTAAATTTTGGTACCATATATACTTAAAATATATATTCATCATTTGTGCAATACAAACTTTATTATATTGTCTTTATATAGGACAGTATGGGTAAAACAAAGCATAGCCAGTTTGTGACTTGGCATCATGAGGATCAAATAAGATAGTCAATACACAAGTAGCCCACCAAAATCATATACTGAGTTCTCACATAAAAGTCAAAATCTTTGTATCTCAAAGATGTTGGAGGATATGTTAAGCACTATTCCAATATTTCATTATAGGATGAGCACTAGATGTTGCTAACAATTTCATCACAAATATAATATCAGGATTGATGTGATTACGGAACTTCTGGTCCCAAGGTAGTGCTCCAACGATAATAAAGTAATGAACTTTTGGTCTTAAGGTATTCTCATTATCCTCTTCGAGTCTAAATGGTTTCTTATCTGCTTCAAGACGCTTTTCAATGTAGGCTAACTGGTGTGTAACATTTCTTCAGGGAGATATTCAATCTACAGGTCAAGACAATACTTGGTTTCCCAAGTCTTTCATTTCAAACTCTGTCCATGCCCTTCCAATAGTTGTTAAGTCATCGACATAGACTAAGCTAATAAATAAATAACTCCATTAGCAATTCTTCAATGAACATATAATGATACATATTATTTGCATATTCCTTCTTCAGGAAGAAAAACACTCAGTCAACTGCTAACTATTTCAAAACACATAAAACCTTCATAATTTAACATTATACATGTTGCAATTTTTATTTTCTCTTATCCCAAGAATTCTAAATCCATCAAAGACTTTTTCAAATAAATATTAGCGTCTAATGACCCATTAGTATACGGTCATGACGTCTATCAACTACATATCCAAATTTATTATTTACTGCCAATGATGTTAAGTAACGAAACTTAATGTCATCTATTGTGGGAGAATATATTTTACCAAAATAAATTATGGGTCTTTGCGTGAACCCTTAGCTACAAAACTCAATTTATCACACCACCTCATTATCTTATTCCTCTTACGTGCAAACACTCATTTGTAACCAATAGGGTTAACATTCAATGGTGTACATGTTATAAAGGGAATTTATTTTATTTTAGCGAATTGAGCTATGCCTTAATTTCTCATTTATATGTTAAATAATCATGGCACTTCTAGTGTCTAGCTACGAATCCAGATTATCATATAAGGAGGGCAATTTGTAAAGACGATTATGTTGTCGAAAATCATAATATTTTCATAAATAATGTCTCTCATATTTATAAAAGTCATGACAATTTTTAAAACAACCAGATTCCAGACATTTCCCAAAGATAATTTGATTTGATCGCTCTGCATCCCCAATATGATTATTTGGTACACCTATAGGTTTACTGAGGTTTTTCGTCTTTCTGAACGAACTCTCCAGGACATAATTCTTCAAGATATTTCAAGAGTGACAATGTTTCTTTACTAGATATAGTATTAAGATTCTTATCTTTTGCATCAATAGGTCTCCCACACTTATGGCGTCAATGAGCATCGGTAGATATTTTTAGTCTAAGTTGGGGAAGGTATATGCAAACCTAGTCACTATTTATTATTAGTATGATCAATATATATATATATATATATATATATATATATATATATATATATATATATATATATATGGCAGATTATTTGCTAAAAATTATAAATTGATTATCTTTTGAACTTCTAGTTTAGTCTAACTAGTACGTAGATTTAAATAATAAAGATTTCTTCATTCCATAGAATTTCTTGACATTATATTCTATTAAATTTGGGCTCATATCTCCCCCTAATGCCATGAAACGATCTTCATTAATTATGCAGTCAGCGTACATAATTATATATTGATCCTCTATCATGGGCTCTAGGTATTTAAACAACAGACGAAGGTTCATAACCAACATATATACCTAGTTTCTTTGATAGCCCCTAGAGTTATGCTATGGTGGTGATACATAAAAATGGACTGCACACTACTAATGAAACGCAAATGGAGAAATGTTTGATTCTAAACTACGTACTAGATGTTAGGAGAAATAACTATGATATGTAGTAAGTCGAATTTGGATGAAAAAAAAAAAAAAAAAAAAAAAGTAATATGTCAAATTGGAAGTTCCCAAAATAAAACAGATAATTTAGAAATTTCCCCTTCACATATGCTTTCAAAAATACTCATGTGGATAAGACAGACTACTACTGTTTGATATGCATACGTACGTACGTACATTGAAATATATATATATATATATATATATATATATATATATATATATATATTAAACAAAAATATAAGAGCACTCAATAATAATAATAACTTAAATATCAAATAGAAGTACAAATCATTCAAGATCTCCAAAACTCCTAACCTCAATTTTTGGGAAATCATCATCAATACTCACAATTTATTTGCCTCAGGCAAAATAGTATGATGTGATTCACTTTAGTATTCAAATTAAATTTATAACTAATTGAAATGAAATTGATTTATAGGCATTGCTCGACAAACTAATCAAGTTCACATATTATGCTAATTAAGTTTGGGGTAACTTGATAACCACAAAATTTTAAGTTTGACTTTTTATGAGAGATGTCTATTGATCTTTTATATTTGAGTTTAGTTAGCTATGAGCGATTTTAGTTGGTTTACCGCCTTGGCTTCTTGTGATTGTTTGCCAGCTAGAATCATAATGTAAATTTACCCAAAGTGCACTTTTAAGTAACGGAACTCATATTGTGATTCTTTGTTAACTAAGATCACAAAGTGAGCTTCACTTAAAGCATACTTTTAAGTAGCATTGCAGGCATTCTCATAAATCAAAGTTTGCATGTTGTCCTGGATAGTTCGTAAAAATAAATGCATTTATGTTACTTCTCTTTAAAAAAATCAATACATAATATTTAATATTCATTAGCTAATGCGTGATTACTGTATTGAATTTTATAAATATTTGATTATTGTGTATATTTTTTTTTTTATTAATGTGTGATATATTCAACTAATTTATTTTGATTAATACTATATTAGATAGTGATTAGTATGTAATAATTTTTGCGGAGAAAACTAGTATTTTTAAAAAACTTTGAATCTTTATCAATCTGACTAATAAATCTCTAAAACAAATGTTTTGTGAAGACTGCCTTTGGTCACGAGTAATTATCATATTTATGAGATTATGATCTTCCAAGTCAACGTTATATGGTTGATGGTTAGACGGTTAGATAACATTTAATGAAGTTAATTGACAGGGAAAAAAAAGAACACGTTAATTATTTGTTAAGTACCCGTTATTAAGGAGAAAATTTTTAACAAAGTTATGTTATTTGTTACTAATAATTATAACTTTTAATTCAGTGATAAGTGCTTAATTTTATCAATTAGTCACTATCAAGTTACTAGTTCAGTTGAGATAGGATTATTGGATGGAAGCTTGAAAAATTGAATAGCTTGAAAAATTATTATTTCAATTATAGATTTTTTATTTACTATCATTTTAATCGACTTTGTGGTAAAGTAGCACTGAGTTGCTCCCCCATATTGAAGATTGTGAGTTCGAGTTTTCAGTTTTATATTTTAATTAATACTTTAATAAGTTAAAAAAAGTAATTATAAATAAATACTGCATTATAAATTTATAACAGAGAATACTCAAAAAAAAAAATTATTTTTTTTTGAATGTTATTGGCTCTATTACAATGTAGTATATACTAACCTACTGAAACACAAAGAACCAATAACGTCTCCACTAAGGCTCAAACTCATAATCTTCCAAATGGAAGTCCAACCCGGATACCATTAGACCACATAGTCTTGGTAAAAAACTTCATTTAATATTGCTTAATTATCAATTTTGAGTTTTATCAAAAAAAAAAAAAATCAATTTTGAGAGTTGAGACAATAATTAGCATTTGTCCTATAAAATTGAAGTGTGCATTTATCAACTGGGCTCTATTCATCACATCACGTCGACAAAGAAAATTCTTTCCTTATAGCAATTTTTTTTTTCTTTTGAATTTTCATAATCTATTTAAAGTGCATCAGACAAGAATATTTCTGCCAACTAGGTTTCTGGAGTTTTCCTTATCATTTTACCTGGCAAATTATATCGTGCACCGCGGAGCATAATCGATTATGCACTGCGCATCAAACGACGTCGTTTTGTTTAATAAAAAGAAACGGCATCCGTTTCTCGCCGTTACGCACCCTTCCGCAAAAAGTAACTCTATTATTCAGTTTCATTTTGTATACACTGCAGTTTCGGTTCAACACAACTACAGTTTTATTTCGATATACTACAGTTTCATTCGATATTTATAGACTCAAATATGTGAAAATGCTATTTAATTTTATTTTTTATACACTATAGTTTTATTAAAACACAACTACATGATCATTTTGATATACTTACAGCTTCATTGTACAATATACACTCAAATATGTGAAATGTTATTCGATTTCATTTTATATACACTGCAGTTTCATTTCACCACAACTACAATATCATTTTGATTTAACTGCAGTTTCATTTGATAATATTAAAAGGAATAATGTTCAAATTGACCACTGAACGTAACCTGAAAATGCAATTAGGCTACTGAACGAAAAAAAAAAAAAAAAAAAAGTGTAATTAGGCCACTAAACACTCCAAAAACGTGCAATTAGGCCACTGAACACTCCAAATGTATGCAATTTCACCGGATAGCAGGTTACCATCAATTTTAGCAGGCTACCTGATTACGTGGCACCTGAATTGACATTTTTAATAATTTTTAAATAATTTTAATAATAAATTTAAAAAAATTGAAAATAAAATAAATAAATAAATAAAAAAAAATAAAACGACGGGGTGGCCGCAGTCATTTAAAAAAAATTTTAAAAAAATTATTATTAAAAATTATTAAAAATGCCAACTCAGCTGCCATGTAAGCAAGTAACCTACTAAAATTGATGGTAACCTGCTATCAGGTGAAATTGCATACATTTGGAGTGTTCAATGGCCTAATTGCACTCTTTTTTCGTTTAGTGGCCTAATTGTATTTTCAGGTTACGTTCAGTGGCCAATTTGAACCTTATTCCATATAAAAATAATAGTGAGACGATGTCGGTTTATATATACTGTAGTGTCAGTTGGTAATAAACATACAAAAAAATGCGCACTCCGTTAAAACTAACGGTGCGCCGTTTCTTTACTTAAAGAAACGACGCCGTTTTGACCGCGGTGCACGTACACCGTAGTCCACGATATAACGATCCCATTTTACCTAATCTTGGCCCTGACGTGCGACTAGGATGACAATATAGGGCCTCAATTTATATGTGTGCGCGCGCGTGTGTCTAATTTATTATTTTTATATTTGGTAAACTATACTTCTAGAGTTCATTAATTAATTTTTAATTGTAATTAAAAATGAAACTTTGATAGAGATTAACATCGAAAGTTTAGTTAATGATTTTGTTTATTATAAGTTAAAATTTTAATTTTATTTTTCTTTATTGAATATTTTATGTATTACATTTTGACAAAAAATAATAATAAATATTATGTTTTTATTTTATATTTTACAACCAATAGCTGTATTCTTTTTCCTTTGATTGATTTTGATATAATTGTCTTAATTAATGATTTTTTAATGAGACAGTTAGTGTGACACATGAACACACATATCATGTACTCTTTCCTCATTAGGTTTTTTCCCACGTACTGAGTTTTTCTAGAGAGGTTTTAACGAGGCATGAGTATGATATAGTAATGTCCTAGGAGAGGTGTTGTAAATATATATATATATATATATATATATATATATATTACTAGAGGAATTGTAGTGTGATAATATATCTTCATTCTTTATAGATTTATAGTTATACTGAATTTTGTATATCTTGTATACATTATACTGAAGGATATGATGATTAATAAAAGATTGATGATTCTCCTTGTATATGTATTCCTCGTCTTCTCCTTACTTTATCATGTCAATTACTTTCCTGCAATCAGTATTATGCAATTGTTCACGCGGGGATCCGTTCAATTTCACAACAACAACAACATTATTATTATTATTATTATTATTATTATTATTATTATTATTATTATTATTGTTGTTGTTGTTGTTGTTGTTGTTGTTGTTGTTGTTGTTGTTGTTGTTATTATTATTATTATTATTATTATTATTATTATTATTATTACGTTTCTAAACTAGCTAGCTATACTACTAAGGATATAATTATTTATTGGGGGAAGGATATAATTATTTATTGTTTCTTTATACAAAAGAAAGATAAATTATTGAAACATTGATTATACTAACCGACAATTTCATGTTTCTCATTATCATCTTTTGCGGGCATCCACATACATTTGTGTAGTATTAATATATATGAATTGGTCATGTGGAGTAGTTTTTATTTGACACCCAATTAAGCTTATGTTCACATAATGTGGACTGCCAATAAGGTAATGTCAACAATGTGTATTTATTACGCACTGTTTGCTATTGATTTCTGTCCTTGTAGAAGTCAATCTCGATATGACAAGGAACCAAAATATACATCACTTAATTTTGTTTGAAAAAAAAATAAATCATGCATTTTGATCTTATATTCTTTGTTAATCACTTTTATAACTATTATTAATATAGTTATAGTTGTGCCATGAATATTGTGTTTTTAGTCATTCATATTACATTTGAATTACTTTAGTTTAAGAGTCACACTTGTGTGAAACCGTCTCACGGATCTTAATTCGTGATACAAGCCGGTCGAATCTAAGATAGTTGCTTGTTACTTATGATAGTAATCATAATACTTATTACAGAAAATTTAATATCAATTTAAAATAAATAAATTGTTACTTATAATAGATATTGTAATATTTATATGTGAAATTGTAATACTATTTAAGGTAAAACTAGTCATTTCTATGCGCAATACGCAAAAATTTATGCCTAATATTTATATTTTTTAAAATAACTAACAAATCCTTATTACTAATTAAAATCTAGAGAAAACGACGCTATCAATTGATTTTAGCCCCTCAATTATTTTACTTTTAAAAATTTAGCCCCTATCAATTGATTTAAACAAATCTAACCCTTTAATTATTTATAATGTAACACATTTGGTCCCTTATGTTATATAATTAGAATTGTTTTAAATAATTTATATAATTTATTTATTCAAAATTAAAAATATTTTTAATTATAAATAAATTCATAAATTAAAAAAAAAAAAAAAAAAAAAAAAAGAAGAAGAACCGCCACCAGCTGTCTGCGCCATGGCCGACGAAGGAAGACGGCCGGCCATGGTCGTCTTCTAGATCTGGAACGAGGGCTACGGCCTTCGCCGCCGCCCTCGTTCCAGTCTCCTCCGTTTGGAGCGAGAGCGGCGGTCATGGCCGTAGCCCTCGTTCCAGATCTAGAAGACGTCCATGGCCGGCCGTCTTCCTTCGTCGGCCATGGTCGTCTCCATGAAGAAGACAGCCACCGGCTGTCCGGCGTGGACAGCCGGTGGCTGTTCTTCTTCTTCTTTTTAATCTTTTTTTTATTATTATTTTATGTATTTATTTATAATAAAGAATATTTTTAATTTTGAATAAATTAATTATATAAATTATTAAAAACAATTTTAATTAAATATGAGGGACCAAATGTACCACATTATGAACAATTAAAGGGTTAGGTTTGTTCAAATCAATTGAAAATGGCTAAATTTTCAAAAGTGAAAGAACTGAGGGGCCAAAAGTGTCGTAGGGGTATTTTTGTCCAAAAAATTGTATAGTATAACTCTAAAAGCACAATGTACAAAATGATTAGCACTAAAAAACATGGACATAAATTAGGGATATAACTTTGATTGAGACTTATTATGTTTTTAATTAGATGATTGTTACTGTTAAAAGCTAGAAAGGGTTTTTGTATTGTATCTAACTTCAAGTTACAAGTCTATATATAGGTCTACAAAAGTAAACAATAATAAATAAAGAAACTACTCATCTCCCCAAGGCTTTAATTACTGAGGCTTGTGAGCTGCCCATTTAATTACTAAGGCTAGTGAGCTGCCCAAGACTTTTAATATTCCAACACTCCCCCTCAAGCTGGAGCGTATAAATCAAAAGCTCCCAGGTGTAACAATGATGTAGAACATGACTCAACTGGATGTCTATCCTCTTGGGAATCTTGACGATTGCGTCGTTGGTAGGTGTACAACAACGGTGGAATATGTCCTTCCTCTTGAATGGTTGGTGTTGGAATAGTTCTTTCAGGAATAGGTATGGTCCTTTCAGGAACAGTGGGAGATACAGGTTCTGAGAAAGTAGGAACAGGGAGAATTTCTGTGATTTCAATGGGTTCCCCTAGGAAATTAGACTCAACGGAGGTGGAAGAGAAAAAAGGTGTTGTTTCAAAAAAGGTAACATCGGAAGAGGTATAAAACCGGTGTGTTCTAGGACAGTAACACTTAAAGACTTTTTGGAGGCGAGAATACCCAAGGAAAACACATTTTATTGCCTTGGCATCAAGTTTATCACGCCCTGGAGAAGTATTATGAACAAAGCAAGTACACCCAAAGATTTGCAATGGAAGCTTATGGAGAGGTTCCTGTGGACGTAAGATATGAAGAGGAATTTTTCCTTGCAAAACAGAGGAAGGCATACGATTTATGAGATAGCAAGAGTGAAGTATAGCATGCCCCCAAAAATTCTTAGGTACCTTGTTATGAATAAGCAAAGTACGAGTTGTTTCAACAAGATGACGAATTTTTCGTTCAGCAACTCCATTCTGTTGAGGAGTTCTAGCACATGATGATTCATGAAGTATTCCATTTGAGGAAAAGAAAGAAGTGAAAGGGTCAGAAAAATATTCTCTTGCATTATCACTGCGTAAGATTTTGAGAGATGCCCCAAATTGATTCACAATTTCATTGTAGAATTTTTGAAACACATCAAATAATTCAAAACGGTTCTTCATTAGAAAAACCCAAGTGCATCGAGAGAAATCATCAATGAAGACAACAAAATATGAGAAACCCAAAGTGGATGAAACTCAACACGGTCCCCAAATATCAGAGTGAACTAAAGAAAATGGGGTATTGACCCTCTTATTCACTCTACTAGGATATGAAGCCCTTGAGTGCTTCCCAAGCTGACATGATTCACACTCTATGGTTTTTAAATTCGACAATCCAGGAACCAGTTGTTTTAATTTATTGAGGTCAGGATGTCCTAAACGACAATGGTTAAGAAGGGGTGAAATAGAAGCCGAGCAAGCTGTTTTGGTATTGGCAGAACATGAAAGATGGTATAGACCTCATGATTCATATCCTACACCAATTGTCCCTTTTGTTTGACGGTTCTGAATAATCATCGAATCAGAAGAAAATGTGACAAGGCAATTAAGTGAGTGAGTAAGTTGATTAACTGAAATCAAATTGAAATGGCAACCAGGAATGTAAAGGACATTGGATAAAGACAAAGAATGAATGGTGACTTTTCCAATTCCTATAGCTTTTCCTTTTGATCCATCACCAAATGTGACATCGGGAAGAGAATATGAGAACTCAATATTAGAGAAAAATGAGAGATTACCAGAAATGTGATCAGTGGCTCCAGAATCAAGAATCCAAGATGAATCAAATTTTAATGCAAGAGCAGTATGAGACAAGTTGGTCCTTGCAACTTTCAGCATGCTGTTTAAACTCTCATGTTTTGCCATAGCTTTCAGAAAAATATGAGAAAATCACCATATAATCGCAGAAAAGGGACAAACTGAGTTGGAAAATTTTGTCGGAAAAGGGATGATGAACAGTCACCACTATTCATCGGCTGTAGGTGTTTGAGAGAAATTTCAGGCCCCAAAAAAGAGGCTTTGATACCATGTTAAAGCTAGAAAGGGTTCTTGTATTGTATCTAACTTCAAGTTACAAGTCTATATATAGGTCTACAAAAGTAAACAATAATAAATAAAGAAACTACTCATCTCCCTAAGGCTTTAATTACTGAGGCTTGTGAGCTGCCCATTTAATTACTAAGGCTAGTGAGCTGCCCAAGACTTTTAATATTTCAACAGTTACTAATGATAAATATTGTAATACTTATAAGTGAAATTGTGATACTTACAAAGTGTAAATATTGTAACTTATATATGAAATGTTACTTATGAAAAAAAAATTGTAATACTTATTATTGTAGCAAATTTAATATCAATTTGAATTAAAAATAAATCGTTACTTATAATAGATATTGTAATACTTATATGTGAAATTGTGATACTATTTAGGGTAAAATTGATTGTTACAAATGATAAATATTGTAATGATTATAACTGAAATTGTGATACTTATAGACCCAATTGTATACAACCCGACCCGTCTCACAAACACTGTCTGTGAGACGTCTTACACAAGTTTTTGTCTTACCTTAATATCTCCCATCTACTCTTGCTGATCGTTTCTGATGAAATAATTACGAACGGGTTCGGAGCGGAACAATACGGAGCGAATCGTACCCGGGGCACCGGACCCGACTTGACCACACGCACGGTGGTCTGCCACTCTGCCACCCCGGGGTCGGCCTCCTCCAAGGTTCGCCATCACGTGGTCGGCCACTTGGCCGAGCTCCGTGCTCGGCCAAGGGGCAGGGTCCCGGCGTTGTCAGAGTCTTGCGGCGGCGACTGCGGTCCAAGACGGTTGAGGGGACCTCCACCGATTTTTCGGGGTTGTTGGGGCGACATGGAGTATAAAAATTCTCATTTGTGTCTTGTTCAGACATCTCTTGTCCTAATCACATACTTTGTCTCGTTATTACATAATCATTACCTTTGTAATAACATTTTATACACAATTAATACAATACTCGTCCCCGTGACGTATATTCGTGCATATTTCGTCCCGTTGTCACATTCTTTTATTCTTTGAATCCTATTCTTGTCGCATCCCTTATTTTAATCGGGTTAATTGATTCAGACCTTCAGATTAATATAATCCATCAGTTTCCTAAATTAACAACATAGACAGGCGACATTAGAGACGGGCGACATATCTAGCCCCTTCTTACTTTAATTTCCGCATGTGCTAGTGCTTCTAGAGTATCACTTTATTTGGCACGGGGAAAAGGTCAAATAGGCACTCGAATTTTAGCTTAAAAGTTAATTAGACCTTTAAATTTTTTAAAGGTGCAATTACACCCATCAACAATTTATTTATGTGCTATGAAGCCCAAAAACAAGTAAATGACCTGCTATCACAGGTCATTAGAGTTCAGGCCACCTTCCGGCGAATTTTCTGACAAAAAAATGTGACCAACAACCGACCCAGATTTGCCGAAAATTTCGCTGGTCACTTCTTTTGTTGAAAATTTCGGCGGTCACTTTTTTTTTTTTGTCGGAAAATTCGCCGGAAGGTGGCCTGAACCCTAATGACCTGTGATAGCAAATCATTAATTTGTTTTTGGGCTTCATTGCACTTAAATGAATAGTTGATGGGTGTAATTGCACATTTAAAAAGTTTAGGGGCCTAATTGACTTTTAAGCTAAAGTTCGATGGCATATTTGACCTTTTTTTTTCCTTTGGCACCGTGCAAGTTGGACATGGTTCTATGTTCATAATTATTGAATTCTATGTTCATAAATTTTGAACTTCATATTCACAATTATTAAACTTTATATTCACAATTACAAAACTCTATGTTTATAATTACTGAGCTTTATGTTCATAATTATAAAACTCTATGTTCATAATTTTTGAACTTCATATTCACAAGTATTGAACTCCATATTCACAATTACAAAACTCTATGTTCATAATTATAGAACTCTATATTCACAATTATGACAATTTTTTAACCGTGTCCACCTTGTGTGGTGGACACGGTTCCACAACATAATTTGTCTTATTTGGCAAGTATGGCCCTATTTGTTTAGTTGTTGGATCATATATTTAATACATTTTGCTCTGGAACGTAACTTTGATAATGACCCAGTTGAATCGGATGACTACTTGGGGCATCTTAAATAATGGGTTTGGTATATCTGTTGGTTCTAACCCAGATTTTCCCACTGACATATTGTTTTCATTTTCTTGTGAATAGTGATGTTGTCGCATGCTAATCATTATATCATAGACTATGATTTATATTTTAAGTGATATTAATTTATTTTTAGTTTTATGAGAATTTACCTTTTGAAAGCTCATTTTTAATGTAATAAAATATGAAAATAAATATTTAATATATTAAAAATAAATATTTATTGGTGGTTCACATTGTAATGTGGACGTCTAATCCATTTCACGTATCTATAGAAAGGATTTTGATGGGACAAAGCATTGTAGTGCTGATGACCTGTGCAAGTTTATTGTTTCTGATTTTTGGTAAAAGCATATATGTTTTGTATTGCTGCAATTTTGAAATCTTTCTCAATTGAATGAATGAATGTTGTCACTGTTGAAATGTAATGTTGAGTGCTACATGGAAAGAGACTAATTATTACGTATTGGTCTTTAATTTGTTTCAAAGTTGAATATTTATCATCCACTTTTGAAGTATTATATATTTTGTTGTTGTAGACAGGTTGATTGTTAATTAGTAACTCACTTGTTTTTATAGATTTTTACAAGGCAAATTATGCCGTGCATCCGTATGCATCATGCATGGTGCATACGGATGCAAAAACGAAGGCGCGTCTCACTTAAAAAAAAAAAAAAATCAATTTCAATTCCCAGCAACAACATTATATTCCACTTCATCCAATCGTCGACTAGACTAGTTAGGAGTCGTTTGAACGCGGGCTTTAGAGACGGCGACGATTGGATGAAGCGGAAGGGGAGGTGGACGGGGAGGGATTCCATGTTCTCGGAGCCCGGCGGCAGGCCGTAGTGTTCCGCCGCCGCGTCGAAAGGGATTTCGAGGAGGCGAATGGCGGAGCGAGGCGGGAGAGACGACCGGAGCTTGTTGATGTTTTGGGTGGTGTTCACAAAGCTTATCGCAAAGCCTCTTTCTTGCTCGAGCTTGAGGGCCAATGCGAGGAAGGGGATGATGTGGCCTTGAGCCATGAATGGGAAAATCACTATGTTTCCCTTTCTCGATGATTCCATTTTTGCAGGAGATCCAGTTCACAATCGAGATCGAGGACGCCATTAAATTGAATTGGTTCTAGGATGCTTGCAAGGCAATGATGAATTTCAAGATTTGTTACGTTTTAATTTCCATACACGGTTTTCAAAACAATTTCCATACACATACTAGGAAGAAAATAATTAAGGTTAGTATTTAATGTGGAGTATCAATCATGCATCCACTCCATGCAGGATGGATTTTCAAGAAGGAAGATTTTTAGAATGATTTTTTTGGAAATGGACAAAAAAAAACTACAATTTTACTTACCTTTTTAATGAAAAAGTTAAATTTTATCTTTCCCCCATTACTCTATGCTACACCAATCATTATTACATGGACCATACTCTACACAATTGTGTAGATCATAAAAAAAAGTACATTTTTAATGTATTAAAAGGTACATTATTTATATATGTAAGATACATTTTTTGAAAGTACATTTTTAATATACTAAGGGAACATTATTTTATATAATGTACATTCAATACAAAAACAATGTACTTTTAATATATTAAAAATGTATATGATATTCATAGTCCACACAATAATTTGTCATACATATAAGTTCAGGCCTATTTAACTAAATAGGCTTTAAAATAAGTATAAGTCTGACATTTTTATTAAATAGGTCAGGTCGGCAAATTATGTTGTGGAACAAGGTGGACACGCTTCCAAAACAGTTCATAATTATGAATATATAGTTCAAAAATTATGAACATATGATTCAATAATTATGAACATAGAGTTGTGAACATAATTATGAACATATAATTCTGAAATTATGAATATAGAGATTCAATAATTATGAATATGAAGTTCAAAAATTATGTATATATAACTTTATAATTATGAACATAGGTCATAGGCTCCTATGAAGCAACCGTTATGTTGTGGAACCGTGTCCACCTTGCAAGGTGGACACGGTTTTATGTTCATAATTACTGAACTATATGTTCATAATTATAAAGCTATATATTCATAATTATTGAACTTCATATTCATAATTATTGAACTCTATATTCACAATTACAGAACTCTATGCTCATAATTACTGAACTATATGTCCATAATTATAAAGCTATATATTCATAATTTTTGAATTTCATATTTACAATTATTGAATCTCTATATTCATAATTACATAATTATATGTTCATAATTATGTTCACAACTTTATGTTCATAATTATAGAACTATATGTTCCTAATTTTTGAACTATATATTCATAATTATAGAACTATATGTTCATAATTTTTGAACTATATATTCATAATTATGAACAGTTTTGGAATCGTGTATACGTTGCAACGTGGACACGATTCCACAACATAATTTGCCCCTGTGAAGGGGTCTGGTCTATTTTCATCCAAATTCCTGACTGCTGAACACCATCCTAACTCCTAAGTCAAATATTGTATCAAACGTGTGAATATTTTCATGCCTTTTAAATTCTCTTAAACGTTTGAACTTTTCTAGCTACCAAGCATGACAATTTTTGCTGTGAACCATGGCCCATACACCTTTGTCGACCATGAAGGCAAAATACATTCTTAATATATTAAAAGTACATTATTTGATGATTATATACAAAATAATGACCAGGACTATGTGGTCCAATGATACCCGAGTTGGACTTCCATTTGGAAGGTTGTAAGTTCGAGCTTCGGTGGAGGCGTTATTAGCTCTTTGTGTTTCAGTAGGTTGAGAAAGTATATGAACAAATACTACAATGTAATAGAGCTAGTAGCATTCAAAAAATATACAAAATAATGTATTTTTAATAAATTAAAGATATATTTTTTGAGTTCTACTACATAGACTCTCAAATTATACCCCCTAAATTTTACTCCCTGATGTGACGGGCACTGATAGGCTAAATTTTTCATGTGCGTCCCAATACAAGTTCCTACATCAAAATTTTATGTAGTGTAGGAGTAAAAAATAGAAGTACATGTAGTATTTTTCATAATTTTTTATTGGGAAAAGGGTCAAATAGACCCTCAAACTATTGCTTAAAAGTCAATTAGGCCTTTCAACATTTTAAAGAGGCAATTACACCCCTGAACTATGTATTTTGATGCAATGAAGCCCAAATACAAGTAAATGACCTGCTATCCCAAGTCATTACAAATCCGGTGACATTCTGACATATTTTCAGACAAAAAAGTGACCAACGACGATCGCCGGTCACAAAGACCCCTCCCGGAGAAGGCCACCACTCGCCAGAGAAGGCCACCACTGGTGGCCTTCTCGACTGGAGAAGCCAACCTAGATCTGGGTTGCCTTCTCCGGCGGGTGGCCTTCTCCGGGAGGGGTTTCCGTGACCGGCCACCGGTCGCCGGTCACTTTTTTGCCTGAAAATATGCCGAAATGTCGCCGGATTTGTAATGACCTGGGATAGCAGGTCATTTACCTGTATTTGGGCTTCATTGCATCAAAATACATTGTTTAGGGGTGTAATTGCCTCTTTAAAAAGTTGGAGGGCCTAATTGACTTTTGAGCAATAGTTTGAGGGTCTATTTGACCCTTTTCCCTTTTTTATTTATAATCAGTACAGTTATGTGGATCATGGTTCATACAATAATGATTAATCAAGCACCATCTTTTAAGGAGCGTTATGTTGTGCATGGTACACACAGTTGCAAAAACGACGTCGTTTTGACGTCCGACTTTAAAAAAAAATTCAGTTTTCGATTATCGTTAACAGCGTTATGTTGTGCATAATTTGAACTATATAGTTTATTCATTCTGGATATATAGTTCAAATTATGCACAACATAACGTCGTTAACGACAATCAAAACTGATTTTTTATTTTAAGTCGGACACGTTTTTTTTAATCAAAATAACGCCGTTTTTATAACATAGTGCACACTGTTGCAAAACATAATTTGCAATTTTTTAAGGCAATCATTTACTGGATTTATGCAACATCGGTGCAATAACCATGGAAGCCCATAAAAAAGCCCAAATCAATACTATTTTCCTACTTAAACTAGGAAAATGATTTTCTATTTCAAGTTGTTATCTAGTTAGATTGGTAAAAGGTTTCTTATTTTCTATTCCTCCTCTAAATAGGACTAATTATTCACACCATCCTCATCTATAAAATGGACATGAATCTCTTTTTGAACATGTATTGAGGACTATTCTCGTGAAGTTAGGACATTTTGTTCTATCTCTTATTTGTTAAATTTGAAAAGTTTTTTTTTTTTTTTTTTTTTTTGGTACATGTTTAAACATTCGAGCATAAAATTAAGTTCATATCATTTCGTCTTCCCGCCGAGACAAAGAAATTATCTCTAGACAAAGACAGGGAAAGGGTAAGTTTTTTGTTTTGCTTTTTAATTTTATTTTATTTAGAATTATTATAATAAATTAATACTAATAATTTTTAATGGGATGACCGCTATGTTAACATAATAAATTTGTCAATATCGATTTAATTACATATTTTTAGATTGTTTAGACGCTTAATTATACTTTTTTAATTAGATGGCACAATTATTTTCGTATAGTTTAGTGACTTGAACATTATTCCTATTTGCTATAGACTTCTCTTATATTTCCATTAAAAATTTCCATTGTGGCATCATTTATTGAATTATTTGATAGTTAAATTTATTTTTTAATTAAAATGTGATAAGTTAATTCATTGACACCTAATATAATAAATAAAAGCTACTTTCATATTAAAAAAAAAAAATGGAGGGGAAAATAACATTTTCCTTACTATTACGGAGTATTATTATTTTTGAATTTTGAATGTTCTTCACTTTCATCCTCTCCTTCCCCTCCTCGTCTTCCTCTACACGTACTGGGTTTGCAACTTCCGTCCTCACTCGATTCAGTCCACCGGCGCACCGCAACTCATCTCCGGCCTCCTTCGCCGCCGCGGGGCTCGATCCATGTGTCTTGGCAGCTTCCCGATCATCCTGCACCATTTGTTTGGAATCGACGCCGAAAACTTAACTTCGAAGAAGCGGAGTGTTGCATCGATCTCACGATTTTTCAGGTTAAGGTTCTTCCTCACTGTTACTATTGTTTTCAATAGTGTTTGGATAAGTAAGGAGGTAGGAGTTATCCAGATCGAAGGAGAGAAAAGGTGCGAAGGAATGGTAGAGAGAGGGGAAGAGGCGGAAGAGTCTAGAACATATAATAAAATTCCCTAAAATAAGCTTAAATAAACTAAACATCTTAATTAATTTTCTAAGTAATTTAATTCTTGTGTTTAATGTTTCCAGATTAAAGCATATTAATTAATTTTTACTGTTTTAGTATGTCTTCCTTCCACATGATTTTGTGTTGGGATTAAAAACTCATGCTTACATTTACCTAATAAAACTTTGACAGGTTTTCACTTTGTCCATCATTTGATGAAGATTTGTTGTAGTGAGAGAAGTCTCACTTCTGGGATGCCTAGGAAGAGATTGTTTGGTTATAGTAATGATAAGTTTCATGGATCCCCATCTAACCTCAAGAAACAAAAGATTAATGTTACCTCTAATTATCCTGAATATTTTGATTCCTGGCATACAAGTACTGGGACTGTTGTCCTAGCCCTGCCTTCAACAAATCTTCCACACATCAAAGAGATTGATGCTTCTAAGCCAAGAACAGACAGCAAGGGAGTAGATTCGCCAGCCACTCTGAAGGGGACAAATTCATATAATGTGGCAGCAAGTGAAGACTCTGGAGATTCAGAACAGAATCTAGTGATTAGTCCCACTTTAAGTAATGGTTCTGCCTCAGGGTATGTTAACATTGCTCCCACAAATGAGGGTTCCCCAGTTGACCATCGCAAGCGAGTCTTGGATGTTTTGGAACATTTCAAACAAGTGTACAACAAGTTTTTGGAAGAAATCAAAGGCGATTCAGTTGGATCTGCAAAAGGAGGTGTGCCAATGAAAGCTGCATCTTTCCTAAAGAAACAACGAAAATGGTTACAAGACAAACCAACCTTTGGCGATATTCCCGGGGTTAAGATTGGTGACACCTATCAATTTAGGGTGGAACTTGTGATTGTGGGACTCCATCTCCAATATTTTGCCGGCATAGATTATACAGATTTGGATGGAAAACTCCATGCAACTAGTGTTGTGGATTCTGGTCCGTATAAATATGAGGTTATATCTCTTGACACACTCATCTATGTTGGTTCATATAAGAAAGTAGATGATCAAAAGCTTGAGAAGGGTAATCTTGCCTTGAAGAACTCCATGGATGCAAAGCTTCCTATAAGAGTTATCTGTCTTCAAAAAACTCTAGGTATGAGTGGCCAGGGATACACTTATGCAGGGTTGTACACTGTGAGCAACTATAAGCAAGAAAGAGACCGAAGGGGCAACTCGGTGTTCAAGTTTGAATTGCGTAGACTTCCTTCGCAGCCAAATCTTACTCTCCCAATGGTTTGGGACTGGGAGCCAGTAGAATTGACTGAAAGAGAAGGTGGTATTAACAATCGAGTTGTGGTAGATGATGTGTCACAAGGGAAGGATAAGTTTCCCATTCCTGCAGTGAATGATATTAATGATGAAAAACCCCCATCTTTTACTTACATAACCAAAATGGTATATCCTTGTTGGTTTCATTGTCCTTTGCCAAAGGGTTGCAACTGCAAAAGTGGATGTTCAGATTCAAAGCCATGTCCATGTACACGTAGGAATGGAGGTGAGATTCCATTCAACAATAGCGGTGCTGTACTTAAAGCAAAGCAAGTTATCTACGAGTGTGGTCCATCTTGCAAATGTCCCCCTTCCTGCAATAATAGAGTTGGCCAAAATGGTCCACAATATCAATTGGAAGTTTTCAAAACCAAGTCTAGAGGATGGGGTGTCCGATCACGAGATTATATCTCTTCGGGAAGTTTTATATGTGAATTTCTTGGAGAGCTGCTTGATGAGAAGGAAGCTGAAAAAAGAATAGACTGTGATGAATATCTCTTCGATATTGGTAACTATGATAAAGGAGAGGATACTAATATCGTTGATATTCGCAGAAAGGATAGTGATGGATTCACGGTTGATGCAGCCCAATTGGGAAATGTGGGGAGATTCATCAACCATAGTTGTTCACCCAACCTTTATGTGCAAAACGTGTTGTTTGATCATGATGACAAGAGAGCCCCTCATTTATTGCTGTTTGCTCAAGAGGATATACCACCTTTCCAAGAGCTAACTTACGACTATAATTACAAGATGGATCAAGTTCGGGATGCAAATGGAAACCTCAAGAAGAAGAACTGCTATTGTGGGTTTCCCGAGTGCACCGGAAGAATGTACTAAGGAAGGTTCCTTTCTTAAGATCCATCATACTGTGCCAATCTCATGCATTGTAAGTGGTCTGAGTTTCCTCTCAGGTAAAGATAATATAGTGTAGGAAATGTACTCACTTTTGCACTTATCTATAGATAGAACAAAGATATCTACACTCTCATTAGGGTTTTTGGAGTCTTTTTGGGTTCTATTTTTTGTAAACAAGTTTTGCAATATTGATGACACATTTTGAGTACCCTTATGAAATGGAATTTGATAAAATTAGTGATTGATTGTAGCCTTGTAGGGATACCATTCCCCGGTCTTTTTTTTTTTTTTTTTGGTCAGACCATGAGGTGTCTTGAGCAGGTTATAACGGTAGGAGGCACCTTTAAGCCCCTAACATACTCAGACTAATCTTTATTTGTATTGGGCCGGGCCAATTAAGGGGCAAAGTGAGGACAAGATTGGTTTTTTTCAATCGTTATATCGTGCACCAGGGCGCACAATGCATTGTGCGCCTTGCTCAAAATGACAAATCTAGAATCAAGATTGAAAATGAAAATGACGTTGTTTTATTTGTTAAGAGTTTATGTGTATTATGTATTATGTTAGATTATGTATATTATGTTATGAGTTTATGTGTATTTTACTATACAATTTTGTACATTCGAAATATGAGATTTTTTATTTTTTTTAGAAGTTAACGATAGAAACGGGAAATGGAATTTCTAAAAAAAAAAAAAAAAAAAACATATATAAAACGACGCTGTTTTGGTCAGGGCGCACAATACATGATATAATTTACCGATTTTTCCATACGAGAATGCACGACCATTCAAGTCAATCAAACGGGTTATTCCCCGGCCTCTTTCCCCTCTTTCCTCCCTCAGTCCAACGCCTCTCTACCTTCCTCTTTTGTATTTCTATTCTACCCTAAATTCCCGATCCCCATATCATATCCCTAAAATTCTGCTACAACTTGGACTAAAGTCTATCCATCCATACTACCACTAACATATCATTGCGACGACATTAATTTTGTCGCGAATTCCGTCATTAATTTGCAACAGAAACTATTATGTCGCTATATTGCGACAGAATAATTTTCATCGCAATTTTGTGTCGCGATTCGCGATTTTTCTTGTAGTGGTAGGAGGGTCTCTTTGCATATCTCTAAGCTCCTTGAGAATCCTCCTGGAAGCCATTATTCCAGCTGATGTTTGCTAAGACGAGAGATACCAAAAACTACAAAAACAGAATCTCACAATTTTTCTGAAGAAGGATATATGATGGAGTTAATTACAGTTTTGGTCCGTCGACTATAGCAAAAATACCAAATTGGTCCTCGCCTTTTTTTTTTTATTAAGTTATCAAGTATTGATTTTTTGTCCGATTTAGTCATCCGTCAATTTAGGTGTTAATTGACTGTCTCTTTTGAGGGCAAAATAGAACTTTCACTCTTCTTCCTAATCAACTCTCTCGTCATCCCCAATCATCGCCCTCTCTGCCCTCTACCTAAACTAGTCGCAACCACCACACTCAAAATCTCAGCCAAAGAGTGGTGAATTCGGAGGCTGCGCAGTTGTGAGCCAAAAGGAGATGAATTTCCCACAAGGGCTTGTCGGCGGGGAGCGGCAAGGAGACGGCGAGGTTTGCCAGGTATTCGTTGACGGCATCCTCGTCCGACACGGTGTCGCGGTCGTTGAGCGGCTCGCGACGGATGACGAAGTGGTCGTCAAGGTTGACCCGGGTTCTACGCCACTGTTCGCACCTACACCTCGGAGGAGATTTGCGATTGACTTTTTCTCAACTGGGTGGGGGGGTCTTCTTCTACTTAATTTTGTTTTCCTCCAATTGACCGTAACCAAGAGGCTAGAAGAGCCGGTATGGTGGCCTCTTCGAATGGCATATCGAGACGGAGACATAGAAGTGATAGAACTAACAGTCTTCGAGACTCCCCGGGTTTCCCTTCAAATCCCTCCCATTCTGATTTGTTTTCGATTTCGGATTTTCAATTCAATTTTCACCTAAAAATGAGGATACCACCGCCCACATCTACCACCAACTCCACCACAGTAGCAACGCCGGAGGCGGTGGAGGACTGAGGTAATCGCTGCTCCGTTCCAGAATCGCGATTTTGATTTCGCACTACTTCTGTGTACGTCGGTAGCAACGTCGCCGGTAATCGTCGTCTATCACCATTTGCAGCTCGATCAACAGGACGGTGATGGTAACCGTCATCCATCATCAACAGGACCGCCGCCCAACACCATTTGCTCGCGTCGACGGAGATGGTACGTGACGGTAATAATGTTACCGGAAATATAATATAAGAGTAACGAATAGTTGTATTGCTTTTGTCTCAGTATAGAAAGTACAGTGTGCCCCCCGCTCAGCTGAGGGAAGTTCTATTTATGCCAGGTCCTAACGGTAACAACATGAAGAGACATCCTTGGGGAGCTGAGCTAACGGCAAGAATATGAAGAGTCATGAATGAGGCGTTGAGGCTTTAACTCTCTCTCATCAATGGTGGCATCAAAGGTGGCTTCAATGACAATAAAGGTGACACCTGTTGGAATTCTAACCGTTGGAGTTCTGCCCGTTGGGTTCCCATGTGATGCTGAGTCAGATGCTCATTTGTGATCCGGGTCGGGTGCCAGCCCTATTATCCTGTCACCAGTCCCCCCTACTCCTGAGTCAACGGATGTGTTTGAGTTGACTTGGGAGTAAGGCTGAATCTATCTTGATCCTGTGTAGAATCCTGCTTGATTTAGGATATGTGATTTTATTTATTTTTTAAAATCACATATGATTTTATTTTATTTCTTATGCTAGCCGAGATAGGCTTTGGCCTAGGTTGGCAGAGTGGCCGAGGTGTCGCCTCGACTGATCGTGGCCGAGGCGTCGCCTCGACCGATCGTGGCCGAGGCGTGCGCCTCGGCTGACCGTGGCCAAGGCGTCGCCTCGACCGATCGTGGCCGAGGCGTCGCCTCGACCGATCGTGGCCGAGGCGTCGCCTCGACCGACCGTGGCCGAGGCGTCGCCTCGACCGTTCGTGGCCGAGGCGTCGCCTCGACCGTTCACGGCCGAGGCGTCGCCTCGACCGATCGCGGCCGAGGCGTCGCCTCGACCGATCGCGGCCGAGGCGTGCGCTTCGGCTGATCGCGGCCGAGGCGTCGCCTCGACCGATCGCGGCCGAGGCGTGCGCTTCGGCTGATCGCGGCCGAGGCGTAGCCTCGACCGATCGTGGCTGGGGCAGGCTCCGGCCTATTTTTATTATATTTTTATTCTTTTTTTTTTTTTTTTTGCCGAGACGAACTTCGGCGTTGGCCGAGGCGGGCGCCTCGGCCAACCATTGGCGAGGTGGGCGCCCCGGCCAACACTTGGCCGAGGCGTGCCTCGGTCAGACTGTGGCCGAGGCGGGCGCCTCGGCCATCCGAGTCGAGTCACGTCTCGGCCAACCTGTGGCCGGGGCGTGAGACTCGTTCCTTTTTTTTTTTTTTTTTTTGCAATGCGGCGTCGGCCGGCTTTTGGTTGATCGAAGGTGGTGTTGAGAACCTTTTATTTGAGCAAAGTAACCTGGGCAGACCATGATTACAAAATATTGTTTACAGGTCTGGGCGGACCATGACTACAAAGTATTACTAATAATATCTAACTAAATGTTCTGAGCTCCATACCCGATCGATCATCCTTGCAGATGGTGTGGTCTTGTAGATCCTTTCTGCCAATCTTTTTGCCTTCTTTTACATAACAACTGCGGGCTGCTCGCTGGTCTCCTCTGACGACCCCTATCCCATTCGGAGTATGGAACTTCATACACAAGTGTTCCACCGACACTATGGCCTTGAGGTCCTCCAGTGCCAGCCTCCCCAATATGATGTTGTGCGCACAAGCGAGTCTTACCACGATGAATTCTACGTCAAGTTTGCGAATGTTAGGGCTCGTGTCTATCTCCACTGGTAAGACCACTGACCCCTCTGTCTCCACTGAATCACCCGTAAATCCAGAGAGTGGGGTACATACTTCTTTGAGCTGGTTCCTAGGTATCCCTAACTTGGTGAAGGCATCGTAATACATCACATTGACTGAGCTTCCTGTGTCGATTAAGATGCGGTGGACCATGACATCGTTGACGTCCATCTTAATCACCAGGGCGTCACGATGGGGTAACGGACCCTCTGGGAGGTCATCATCAGAGAAGGTGATGGCCTCCTGTCTCTGTTTCTTTTCTCTAGGAAGACTCACCACTTCTCCCACGTATAGCTGCCGGCTCCACTTCTTTCTTTCCGCGGGCGTGTCGCCCCCTGCGGGTCCACCATAGATAAAGTGTATGGTGTGCTTCTTTTGTCGTCTGGGCGCCACCTCGGTTTCTTTTTCGCTATCATTCTGCTCAGATATTTGGTCGTGGTCTCTTTTTTTGCGTTCGAGGTGGACGGCTCGGTGCCATCCTCATTCCTCCAGACATTTTTTGGTGGATTGTGCTGCGGTTGTTGCTGCTGCTTGGATCGCTTGACGAATGTCGGAAGTAGCCATGTTGGATGAGTTCTTCTATTTGTCTCTTCAAAACGTGACACTCATCCGTATCGTGGCCGGCTTGACTATGAAACCTGCAGTACTTTGTTTGGTCTGCCTTTGGGGAGACCTTCATGCACTCCTCGGGGAACTCTACCATTCCCATCTCCTCAGCTTGCTTTAGAATGACACTGACGGGATGGGTAAGAGGAGTTAGATTACGCAAGGGGACCAGGCGAGATCGTTCGTGGTCTTGGCCTTTCCCTGCGGTCGGGTGGTTCGAGGGTGGTGCCTGGCTGGGCGGACCCGCTTTCCCAGGCTTCCCACCTTTCCTTCCATCCTCTTTGTCCTTCTTTTTCCTGTCGACGTCCCCTGCTTCGGCATAGCGGCTAGCCGTCCTTATCAGATCTTCGTAAGAGTGGGGGTGGTGGGCGTTCAACTGCTTGTGGAAATACCCTGATTTTAAGGCATGGATAAATATCGGGATCGCCCCCTGGGAGTCGAAGTCGTAGACATTATTGACTTCCTTTTTCTATTTTACCAGGAAGTCTTTGAGGCTCTCGCCTCTATCTTGCTTCACTACACAGAGGTGAGAGAAGGGTTTCTTACGCTGTATGCTACCGGAGAAGTATGTCAGGAAGCTCTTGGACAACTCCCCAAAGTTTTGGATCGACCCATCAGGGATGGTGTTGAACCAGTCTTGGGCCGCTCCATCCAGGGTGGACAAGAACGCTCGGCACATGA